TTTCAGCTGAGCACAACGGTACACCCCCGTAATCCCAGCTACTCAGGAGGATGAGGCGGGAGGACTACTTAAGCCCAGGAGTTTGAGACCAGCCTGGGCAACACCACAAGATTCCATCTCAAAACCAAAATGTTTTCAGACATAAAAGTGGTTAAACAACAAACAGCAGATCCTCAGTATAAGAAAGTTAAAGAAAGTCCTTTAGGCAGAAGGAAGGTTATCCCAGATAAAAATCTGGATCTACACAAAAGAATAAAGAGCACCAGGGGGCGGTGCCTGTGGCTCATTGAGTAGGGCGCCTGCTCCATATACCGAGGGTGGTGGGTTCAAACCCGGCCCGGCCAAACTGTAACAAAAAAAATAGCCGGGCATTGTGGTGGGTGCCTGTAGTCTCAGCTACTCGGGAGGCTGAGGCAAGAGAATCGCTTAAGCCCAGGAGTTGGAGGTTGCTATGAGCTGTGTGCTGCCACAGCAGTCTAGCAAGGGCAACAAAGTGAGACTCTGTCTCTACAAAAATAAATAAATAAAATAAAAATTAAAGAATAAAGAGCACCAAAAATGGTAACTACATGCGTATATATGCATGTTTTTTCTTATTTAAATCTCTTTAAAATATAATTGACTATTAAACACAAATCATAGTGATTTGTGAGGTTTATAACATGTAAAAGTAAAATACAGGATAACTATAGCACAAAAATCAGGAGGGGAAAAAAGGAAGTATAATATAGTAAGGTTTTTACATTAAATGTTACAGTGTCACTTGACTGCATACTGTGATACGTGAAAGATATAGCCTATAAACTCTAAAGCAGCCACTAAAATAACTAAACAATTGGCTTATAATACCTCCACAAGGGAGATAAAACAGGGTCATAAAAAAATACTTTATTAGTCCAAAGACAGCAGAAAATGGAAAGACAGAACAAAGAACAAATGGGACAAAGAGAAAAGTAAGTACCAAGATGCTAAACTCAAGCTTAACTTATCAAAAATCACACATGAAATGTAAATGGTTTAAACACCAAATTAAAAAGTTAGACTACATAGAAAAGCAAAATTCAGCTATACGCTCTCTACCACCAACACACCAACAGAGAGAAAAGGCAAAAGGATGACAAAGACACAGCATGATAACAGAGGCCAAAAATGATGAAATGACCACATCATTATAAACAAAGGAGATTTCAAAGGAAAGGATATTAGCAAAGATAAAGGGAAGTCATTTTATAATGACTAAAGACTGAAATAATCACGAAGAAATGAGAATTCCAACGTTTTACGGGCTAACAAGGAAGCTTCAAAATACGTGAAGAAAACTGATAGGAATGCAAGGGGAAATAAACAAAATTATATAACCGTGATTATAACCGCTGATTTCAATACCTTCACCGGATTAAAAGAACCTAATGGGCAGAATAAGCAGCAAGGACAAACTAAATGAGAACACTGCCAAGGACCTTGAGCAGACAGACATTTATAAAATACTCCACCCAACAAAAGCAGAATACATATTATTCTGAAGTATATACAGTGTATTTGCCAAGACAGACCACATTTGGGGCCCTAAAATACATCTTGATAAATTCAAAAGATTTACGGTGTACGTGGTGACCACAGTTAACAGTAATATATTCTTTTTTAAATTATTATTATCATTTTTTTTTTGAGACAGAGCCTCAGGCTATCCCCCTGGGTAGAGTGCCATGGCATCACGCTCACAGCAACCTCCAACTCCTGGGCTCAAGCGAGTCTCCTGCCTCAGCCTCCCAAGCAGCTGCGACTACAGGCGCCCGCCACAACGCCTGGCCATTTTTTGGTTGCAGCTGTCATTGTTGTTTGGCGGGCCCGGGCTGGGGATTCGAACCCGCCACCTTAGGTGTACGTGGCTGGCGCCTTAGCCGCTTGAGCCACAGGCGCCGAGCCAACTGTAATATATTCTTGAGAACTGCTAAGACAATAGATTTTTAAGTGGTCTCAACACATACAAAAAAGACACATATGTGAGCTAACGCATATGTTACTTAGCTTGTTCTAGCCATTCCACAACGTATACATATATCAAAACATCATGTTGCACATTATAATTATATGTAGTTTTGTCAATAAATAAAACCAATACAATAAGCTGAAAAAAATTCAGAAGGATTCAAACAACGCAAACTATGGTATCTGACCATAAAACAGGATCAATAATGGGAAGAATCTTAGAAAATCTACAAATGTTTGGAAATTGAAGTAACTCATTACTAAATGACCCATAGATAAAAGAAAAAAAATTAAAAGAAAAGTAAAAAGCACCACACAGCAAAATGTTTGGGACGCCTCTAAATTAACACTTAGAGAGAAATTTGTAGCAATGAATCTCTATATTAGAAAAGAAGCAAGCTCTCAAATAAAAAAAGGTCCCATTTTTCATTACAAACAAAATTCAATTCTAGGCAGATTATAGATCTAAATGAGACAGGTAAAACAATAAAGCTTCTAGACAAAAACAAAAATAACCTCATGATACTAGGGTTGGGAGACACTTCTTAAACAAGACACAAAAATAGAAATCATAAATGACAAAATTGATATACTGGACTCCACTGAAATTAAGAAATGCTCAATTTCAAAGACAGGAATGAAAGAAAATTAAATGTTTACAATAAAAATAAGAAAGACTCATCGAAAATAGTCAAGGACTCCTACAAATTAATTTTTTAAAAAATACAATAAAAAAGCACATAAGAGTTGAATAGGCACGTTACAAAATAAGATACGGAAATGGGTAGTAGACAAAAAGGTGTTCAAACTCAATAGTAATTAAGAAAAGCGAATTAAAACACATGAAAAACTACCACACACACACCAAAATGGCTAAACAGCATGGTGTTCATGCCTATAATCCTAGCACTTTGGGAGGCCAAGGCAGGAGGATCCCTTGAGCTGAGGAGTTCAAGACCAGCCTAAGCAACATTGACTCCCCATCTCTACTAAAAATAGAATAATTAGCTGAGCCTGTAGTTCCAGCTACTCGGGAAGCTGAGGCAAGAGAATCACTTGAACTTAGGAGTATGAGGTTGCTGTGAGCTATGACATTACACCCAGGGCAACAGAGTGAGATTCTGTCTGAAAAAAGGAAAAAAAAAAAAATGGCTAAAGTGAAAATGTAAAAAATACTAGGTGTTGGCTAGGATATTTTAGCAGTTGTACATACAGGTAGTCACTGCCACCTCCTACTATTTTCCATCTTTTTCACATTAGCCATTTTGGTGAATGTATATTAGTCTTAAACTTAGGAAGACATTTTAACATCTCTTAAAGTTCACGATAAACATATTCAAAAATCTTACTTACAGTTAGATACAACACAAAAATGCTTATAATGTAGGCTGAAATAAAAATACAAAAGCTTTCACAGCAGAATTATTGATGAAAACCAAACACTGGATACTAATCCAAACATCTATCATCAAAGGATAGAGTAGGTTGTGATCTGCTCATTCAGCAGAATACTAGACAGCAGTGGACATGCGGAAACTACAGCCAAATGCAACACTGACAAATCTCACAAAAGAGTACATATTGTTTGACTGACTGAATTTATTTAAAATTCAAAAGATAGCAAAACTAAACCAAAGAGCTTAAAAATTTAAATTTAAATGGTGTGACTACACAGCAAATAAGAACTTCATAAAAGTCAAAATAGTAGTGACTTTGGGGGAGGGGAGTTATAATGACTAGGAAGGAACATGAGGGTTTTCAAGTTCTAAAGCGCTAAGAATGTTCTATTCCTTGTCCAAGGATGAGTTTTGTGTTTTGTGCACTTTTCTGTATGTTCCACACACCTAAGTACAAAAACCTAACCAAAATTATTATGAAACTTTTATACAGTGTGACGTAAAATATTACATCATGATTAAGAAAGTTTGATTAGAAGACAGGGGAATGAGTACAATGACCATGTGGGGTGGCAAATAAAGGGTGGGGACGGCACAGTGTGGAAGTCATCTTCCAAAATGAAAACCCACAGGCAACACCTAACACTGCGGATCCAGCATACCACAGAAGGATGCTAAAGAAGGTACCAATAATCAGCTGTGAAAGATAGAAGTCCTTATCTTAGGGAACAGGAAAATTACAGCTATGAACTGGGAACTTACTTTTCTCTTACAAACCTTGTAAAACTACTCTTCGACTCTTCTAAACTTAAAAAAAAGGGAGTGGGGGAGAAAACTTAAAATGTCACCATGTATAAGCAGAACCTTCATCATCCCATCTTGCTTCTTTCTGTATTTCTCGCTATCACAGGCTGTTAGAGTCGACATTAACTCTTGGCCTAAAAGAAAGTTTGCTAAGCAGATTAGAGTCGCCAGCTCTCTTGATTAGCTCATTTGCCAGTCTGGAAAGGAGTATAGAAGATCTACACAGAAATACCGAGTCTACGAATTACGCTCAGGAATATGTGGAAATGAGAAAGAAATAAAAAGAGAGGAACAACCTTTCTTCTCTTCTATCCCCTAATGAAAAACAAAGCTAGAGATGAAAATTAAGGTATACAATGATTTAATTAAAAAGTAAAGATAGAACAGTTTCACAAGGATTTCCACTTGTGAACCACAATGCATGAACTACTGAAAACGGCAAGAAATTAGCTAAGGTATGTAACTATGAATTCAAATATTCCTAAATGTAGTTTACAAATAGGCAAACTCAAGATACATACAATTAAAACACTCATGCTGTCAAGTTCAGGTGCCTCTAATGCATAAAAATTAGGCCAAAGACAGTACAATAAAATTATATGAAACATGTTCATTTATCAGTTTCCAAATAAATCTGATTTATTTTTAACTGACATCTCAATTATCCATATTTACATCTGGAACATAACAACTTTTCTTTCTTTTAACAGCCTGAGACAAACAAAACGTTATAATTACATATTAGCTATGCCTCCCTCAGTTTCTAAAGGTGAAATGTCATGTCAATTACTTAATAAGATTTAATTTTACCTTGTTTTATCTGTCCTTGCACAATATTACTGGAAGTCGGAGGGGAACCCCTTGTCTTAGAAAGGTCTGGGGTGCTTGGTCTAGGTGGCCTTAAAAAAAGAGAAAAACACATATGTATATACTTTCACACAGTTCCAGAACTATCTAAAATATTAAATTTTCTCGTTCCAAATGAACTATAAAAGAAACACATACAGAACATTTTTAATTTATTGTTCCAAAAAGATGGGGTGGGGGTAGATTTTGTACCTATTGAGATTTTCCATTTCAAATTTTAATATGGTAAAATAAGTGAATGATTAACAAATAGCAATTAAAAATTTGATATTTCCTCTTTGTACTTTAGACATCTTGGTTTAAGAAATACTTGTGAACATTCCAGTGTTCTACTACCTTTGACAGGGAAATGTCATACTTGGTCCCTCATTCTTCAATGCTAGCATGCTGGGATTTCAGCCTACCTACCCAATATCATTGATCCAAATGAATTCACAGAAAGACACACTGAGTTTAAAAGTATTTAGCCCTGAGCCTAAAAAAGTTAATGAGGTATTAAGCAATCTTAGACGGCAGAGGCAAATGTCTGTTTTGAATTCTGGCTCTACCATTTTCTAACTGTGGGACCTTCGACAAATACTTATCTCTTTAGGTCTCAGTTTTCTTATCTGTAATAAAGGGATCATAAAATTATCTTCCATACAAAGTTAAGAACACTGAGTTTTTGTAAAGTCCTTATAACAGCAAATGCTAGCTACATAAGTGTTTAATACACTAAAGAAGTTCTTGATATGGCCCACTCTCAATACAGAGCATAATAAAAAGATGTCTTCACAACTTTGGGAAAATAGGATATAGCTATGCAGGATAAGTACTCTAGAAATATTAAAATATAATAGTATTTGGCCAGGCATACTGGCTTACCCCTGTATCCCTCACACTCTGGGAGCCCACGGCAGGAGGATCGCTTGAGGTTGGGAGTTCGAGACCAGCCTGAGCAAGACTTGAGATTCTATCGCTATTAAAATAGAAAAACTAGCTGGGCATTGTGGCAGGAGCCTGTAATCCCGTCTACTCCGACAGCTGTGGTATGAGGTTCACTTGAGCCCAACAGTTTGAGGTTGCTGTGAGCTATTGTTATGCCACGGCACTCTACCCAGGGCAATTGAGTGAGACTCTGTCAATATAATATAATATAATATATAGTATTCTCTTGCATTAAAAAAAATTGTTCTCTCTTTCACGATTGAAAAATTCTGACTATACTCACAAAATCCTGAAGACAAATTACTGAACACATACCATTCATTACATACAAGTAACAAGAAGAAGAAACACTTTAACCAAATATGCATCAGGACTTAAATGTTAAGGCAAACTTTAAGTAAATCCAATCTTACTATCATACTTACTCATGAGCTAATCGATATGACCAATTCCCTCATTCCCTCTCTTTTTTTAATAGCTACTAAGTATGACAATGTACGTACAATAACACCATGTAACTTTATTATGTTTTAAACCAGGCATTTTGAAGACCTGTGTCTTAAAATTTAAAAAGAAAATATTGAGATGCCATGAAAAGGCTAAAAATATATAGAATAAAAAAAGATAAAGTAATAAACAATGACGAAAATAAAATGGGTTTCTTTTTTGAAACTTAAGAATACAAACAGACTATCGCGGTCACACCTGGTAGGGCCCTTCTTCATATGATCACCAATGAACGTCGCATTGGTCATACTCATTAAGGTATTGGCCAAGGAAATGATCGACAGGAGATGCTGAGTGGTGACGGCCCGGGACACTCCGTAAGTTCCCTTTTCCGTTCCTTCAGTGGCTGGCTGCTTCCTCCCTACTTCCGTTCTCCCTTGTGACAGTTTACTAGAGGGTTGATTGTGACCAGGAAGCATCAGCGACATATGGCCTCCTCTCGATAAGAGCCCAAACGACACTGTGCAGTGGGGCTTCAGCATCCCCAGGCGATCAAGGCAGACTTCATCCAGGACTTCATTCAAACCCCAGGCATGAAGGCAGGACATGAATAACTTGGCGGTGTCCATAGTTAAATTGTATTCTAACAGGGTCAGCGGCTTGGACTTGCTGGCCCGATACTCGGGGTCGCTCTCTTCCCTCCGCTGCCTCATGGTCTCCTCGTCCTCCTCCTCATCGTCCAGGAGGTGCTCCTTTATGTTCTCTTTGATGGTTTCTTTCACTTGTTGGAAGAGAACTGCGGCTCGCTTTCCAGTTAGAAAAGAGCCCCCTTTGTCTGAACTGCCAGATGCTTTTTGCAAATTCTCCGGGGAAATAAGCGCAGTATTCGGCCTAGAGGCTTCCTCAGTCAGGAGTTGAATAATCAACGCTTCCACATCAAAGAAGAGCACGTGGATGTCCGGGTCTGTTAGGTTTGTCTTTATTGCTTGAACCATCAGGGAGTTATGAGAATATTTAGGTAAATTCCCCTGAAATAAATATTTTTAAAAGATAGTTATAATGAAAAGCATTTAATTTCATATGCTCATTAATGAACAATAAACAGTCAGAGGAACTGAAATGTTTATTAAGCTGTCTTTTCAGGGACCTATCATTAAAAGTAACACATTAACTGCCCAGCAACACCATGTAAAATGGATGAGCTCATATGCAGTTAGAAGAGCCTCATGCTGAAACCGCCATCACATTGCCAATTAGTTAAAAAAAAACCAAGGAAATAAAAGTTTACTATTGAAGCAGGGGACCTTTTCATTCATAGAACAGACTAAAATTTGTTTCAATAACTCAGAAGCAAATTCTCCCTCTGAAAATGAACTGTTTCCCCTGAAAGAACAATAGATTTCGGATGGCTACTCATCCTTTTAAGTTGCTGTCCTGCCAAATGGCTCCTTTTTCTATTTTACCTTCACCTTTAAAAAATGTGCAATCCTTTGACCATGCCCCTTTTTTGATTTCTCTCCCCCTCTACTGTCCTTTTTAGCCAAAGTTACTAAGAGCAGTAGAGTAATAAGCCAATGGCGACTCTCTAGTCCCTCCTCCTCAAAGAGAGGGGAGAAAGGAGAGAGGAGAAAGAGACAGAGAGAGAGAATGGAGAGAGACAGAGAAGAAAGAAAGAATAAAAAGCCACTTGGAGAACCTCCTCTCCGTGAGCAGCTAATGTTGACCGTCCTCCCATCAGTCAGCTGCGCTGCAAGCTCCTTCCCCCCACATGGGAACTATCACTTATCACTTACATGTATTGATAAATGGCTCCCAAATTTCCATCATCAGCCAGACGAGCTCCCTTAAGGAGTTTCAATCCTGTATTTCCTACACTTTGTACATAATATCTGGATGTCCCATACTACCTTATATTTAATATGTCCTCATTTGTGCCCTCTCATGACACCTCAAAGACCTCCTGCTCCAGAATCATCAGCTGGAAGTCGGTACCCTTCCTTTCTACCCAATGTCAGGACAGAAATTCAGAGCCTTCTCTTTGTTTCTCAGGACGGGTTTCATTGCCCTAGTCTCATCTTACTCCAACATGAGGGATCCCCTCAGAGCCACAGACTCCTCTCTAATGTAAAGCACAAATGTAACCGTGACACTCTTCCAACAAAAGACTTTATCACGGACTACTAAGGGAAACAGAAAATACAAAATTCTTCAAAGCAATAAAAATATATGTGACTATCTGATCTTGAGGTGAGAAAAGACTTTCTAAATGTACTTAAATTTTAAATAACGCTACTGTCAAAAAAAAAAAATGTTAAATGGCAAGTAAGAAATAGAAATAAGCCTGATGCTGTGGGACTCCTATAGTCCCAGCTACTGGGAAGGCTGAGGCAGGAAGACGGCTTCAGCCTCAGAGTTCAAGGCTGCAGTGCACTATGACTGCACCGCCACACTGCAGCTTGAGAGACTGCTGTGTCTCCAGAAAAGAAAGAGGAAAGAAAAGAGAAATAGGAATGAAATACACAAGAAGTAGGACTGACAAAGACTCATCTATATAAATATTTCTTAAAAATCAATTTTAAAAAATACTAAAGCCCAAATAAAAGGGGAAATAAAACTATAACGGTCAAGGACAGTTTAAAAAAAAAAAAGCCAATAAATATAGGAAAATGCTGATCAAATTAACTGTCAAGAAAATAGCAGTTAAAATAGCCACAAGATACTATTTATAAAATTAGCAAACAGTAAACACTAAAAACAGTAGAGCCAAGGTCAAAGGCACTTGGTGCTGGCATGAATTTAAATAGTAGCCTTTCAAAAGGGTAATTTGGAAAAATACCTCTTGAGTTCTTAAAATTGATATTGTTTGATCTAATATATTTATTTCCAGAATCCTATTATAAATATTCAGAAATACAGATAAGGATATATGTTCAAAGATGTTCAGTAAAACAGTATTTACTCATTTAATTTGGAAACAACCTAAAATCTAGGCCAAGTGGGTGGCTCATGCCTGACATCCTTGCACTTTGGGAGGCCAAGGCAGGAGGATTACTTAGATCAGCTTGAGCAAGAGCTGATCATCTCCACAAAAAAAAAAAATAGGAAAATTAGAGGGGTGTGGTGGCACATGGCTGTAGTCCCAGACACTGGGGAGCAGAGCTTGAGACCAGGAGTTTGAGGTTGCACTGAGCTATGATGAGGCCACTGCACTCTAGCCTGGGTGACAGAGCAAGACTCTGTCTCAATAACAAAATAAATATAAATTATTTAAAATAAATAACAGTAAGGGAAGAGGCAAATAATTTAAGCACAGTCATATAACAGAGTAAGTATTAAGTCATTACAAATCATGATTACTGGGCACGTTTAACCACATAGCAAAATGCTCGTGTTTCCAATTTTAAGTGAGATAAAACTGTACACACATGCATGAGTGCACACACACACACACACACACACGAGTACAGTTCCAATTTTTACTTATTTAATGCTTAAATATACATAGAAGCATGGCAAGAAGGGCTGAAAAAAATATATGAAAATGTTAACAGTAATGACATTTTTGAGACAGAATTATAAAACATGTTTGAATTTCCATATAGTTCTTAAATTGTATATAATCAGTATATATTATTTTCATAAGAAGAAAATAAAGCTTTAGAATAAGATGTAAGCTTCTTCAAAACAATATTCAAAGCCCCTTACAGTTTGTTACCAAAACTTTTCCAGCTTTAACAAGCAGGAAAAGGACCATAACTATCGCCCCTCACAAGCTATGTATAAATCCTTCTTCTGCTTACTCCTTTGCTCAAAATATTCTTCTTAAATTCTACTCCAATCCCTTCTCTTCCATCAAGACCCTGATTCTGTTGTTTCACAGCATGTCCGTCTATCAAATCACATGTTATCAATTAAACCTAAATAAAGCTGGGGTTGGGGAGAAACTATTACTCCCAAGGAATGTTCATGCACAAGCAATCCAGCTCCCCTAACGTTTTTTACCTACTGCGCACAACATACTTGTAGTCTCTGCCATATTTACATAATTAGCTGCTTCACATACAGTATTGACTGACCCCTGTACTCTATGAGACCATTTCCAAATTAGGGGGCTAGCCACGTCATGTTCACCTTGGATAATCTTAAACTTATCAGAGTACCTAGCAGAATGAACGAGGACATTATAAAAATTTTATAAATGGTTTAAAATTTGCTAATCAATGCTTCTGTCATAAAATTACGACAATTCTCCTCCCATACGATTATGTTTCTTTCTAGCTTAAGAGGCTTCCCCAGCATTTCATAAGCCAAGGATAAATCCAGACCTCTCCGAACATCACAAAACTTCCTCCAGGCTACATTATCGCCTACCCCTCCGATTACATCTCTACCCATAAGTCCTACACACTCCACTGCCAAATCAAACCACTTGCACTTTCCAGAGGCACAGAGTTTCAGACAACTGTATCTTTACCTGTGCTATGCCAGGGTCACGCCCCTTCCTCCCTCTCCTGACCGATGCTCAAGTCACACACATTTCTACCCATCCCATAGGAAGTAATCTCAAGTGGCTCCTCTTTCCAAAATCACTTAGGCTTCAGGTACATCTTACCACTACCTCCTCTGTATTAACTGTTCTAAATAAATATTTCTATACTAGTTAAGCAACCTAAGGTGCACACAAGTAATACGAAAAAATTATGCTACACAACAGTAGATACAAAGTTACAAATATGAAGTAAAAAATACTTTCTGAATATCCTTCCTGTATTTATTTTCTTTCATTGCTATATGGTAATTTATGTGTTTATGGGGTACATGCGCGTGTTGGTTCCATTCCTGTATGTCTTTCATCTCCCTTGACTTAACCTTTATTATGTCCTTTGTGCAAGGCATTGAGGATGCAAAGGTGAGTGAGAAATGGTTTTGTCGTCATGGAACTTAAAACTAACAGGTAATGGTGGGCCAAAAAATTGTTACAATGTAGTATGAATGGTGCTCTCAATAGATAAAGTAAGAACCAACCTGCCTTGTGAACAGAGAGAGCCTCATGGAAGCCATGACGTGAGCTAGGAGAGAGCACTCCTGGTGGACAGATGGCAGGATGTTAAACAGGACAAAGGCATGACATATCACAGGATGGATGTTGACGAAACCACAGGTAACCAAGGTGAAGAAGACAATAGATGTTCGTGGAGAGCACAGAGAATCACACCAAGCCTTCTGAACTTTCTCCTGCAGGCTTGGGCGCACTCAAGCAGTACATTTCTCAGAATCATCAGGGCTGTTTGTTAAATGTCAGTTCCTGGGTCTTATATCAGACCAGAATCAGTATCTCCGGGAGTGTGTCCGAATCTTTCTAATAAGTACCGTAGATGACTCATGCAGTAAAGTTTGAGAACTATTGTCTAAGGACTTTAGCGAGGGGAGTTATAAGATCCAACTTAATTGTATAAACATTTATCCATCAGCAGTGTTGGCTGAAAAGCAGCAAGACTGAATCATGAATGTAAAACGGGCAAGAGTTGCCATCCAGATGAAGTATGCAGTAGCACCAGGAACACAGGGATGGGACAGACAGAAGAATGCGTGTAAATTGTCCTTTTATTCTGCACAGCACTGGGCTTTATATTTGCTTTTTCAAACACTGAATGTATAACGTCAGACATTATGCTTGCTGCTTTGTACCTACGATCACTAATTTCAGTTAATAATGTATAACTTTATGTATGATGTCATTGATGGGAAAATTATAAGTAATTATAGTTACCACATACAAAGCTGTCGCTTGGCCCAGGCACTACGCTAAGTATTAGGGTTGGTTGTATCACAGCAAAAACTAAAATATCAATATTAGGTACAGACCTGACACCAGGTAACAATATTAGGTCAAACTAAGAGGCCACCACAGTGCTTTAGCAGATACTGTCTTTCTAGTAAAGATGTGCAAAGTTAATTTAGGAGAAAGACATGGACCATTATTACCAAAGACTATAAAATCAAACATGTTCGGTAAAGAAACTATTAA